AAGAATTGTTAGACAGAAGGGGTTCTTGATGGGTAATGACCTTAATAATAAGCATGTTTATTGAAGATTTAGTCTATTCTTGTGAAGCCAGCTTGTGGTTACCTGTTGGGTTGCTTTTGAAGAAAATTTTAAAGCTTACTTTTACAATCAGAGTTAATTTACAATTTACAATCAAGCAATATGTTCAGTGCCATAAATTGCTGAAATTTTGAGGTTGATTGTGATATGAATCAAGTAGAGAGTATAGGCGTGTGTCATACAATGTAAACATTTAATGGTTGATGTAGCTAAGATTTCTATGATTGGCACACTGTAATAAAAATTGCCTGGAAATGAGCAAATTATACTTTATAACTAATGTTTTTCCCTTACACATGTTGAAATCCAATACCGACACTTGCAGTGGCTGAACATTTGGGGCAAACCCACAATATATTGGGGTATTTTGGTAACACTGAAAAAACCATATATTTGGTGACTAAAAAGATTGCCATGAAATAAATTTGCCAGCAGTTGTATAATAATTCCTAATGGTTTTTAAATTCAGAATAAGATAGAGTAAATGATATTTCATATTTATTGTGACCTCAACATTTTAAATACATACATATGTATTACATTGTGGGCTTAGCACAAATTGAAAATATTGTGCACATGATATAAATTGTATGCTCTTGAATTCAGTCTAGCACTATGAAAAAGTGATTCATTTTTCCCATTCTACAGAGTACATGACCAACTAACTACTGGTAGTTTGTGACAATGTAACTACCAGTAGATTAAATTATTTGTAAATGTAAATTATTTGTAAGTAAACTACTAATGTAATTTATTTGCATGTACCAATGTAACTTAATATTACATGTTAGTTTTAAAAGTACATGTAGATATGAAGTGAACTGATCTGAGTCGACTATGTCGTGTGTATTAAGGTTGGGGAAATATAATCTCTGGTGTTTATGGTGGTTTTTAAAAAAACCGTTTTTTTCAAAGAATTCATCGACAAAGATGAAATTTGCTTGTTGAATTAAGCTCTCTCTCCACGAATCCTTCTGGCCAGTTGTATGTCCTTTGGCATAATGGTAACACGTTTGGCATGAATGGCGCACAAGTTGGTGTCTTCAAACAGTCCAACTAGGTAAGCTTCAGATGCCTCTTGGAGGGCCATCACCGCCGAGCTCTGAAAGCGCAGATCTGTCTTGAAGTCTTGGGCAATTTCTCGGACGAGTCTTTGGAAGGGCAGTTTCCTGATCAACAACTCGGTCGACTTCTGGTATCTACGAATTTCTCTCAGAGCAACTGTTCCGGGCCTGTATCTGTGTGGCTTTTTTACACCTCCAGTTGCTGGGGCACTCTTTCGTGCAGCCTTGGTGGCCAGTTGTTTGCGAGGAGCTTTTCCTCCAGTTGATTTCCTTGCAGTTTGCTTTGTACGAGCCATTTTGACACTACGAAGAAATTTCAATAAGGGCGAACGAAATAAGGTGACTGAGCGATGACGGTACTACCTTCCAGCTAGGAACAACGAATCGATCTGCGAATCGGCGCCATTTGAGGTCAATTTGAAATGTTTGAGCAAGCCACGTGACATGCCGGGAGAAGCGAAATGACAAAGAATGCATCGCCCATTGGCTGCTTTATTATCCCAAGTTTCGAGCGAGCTGCAATTGCATCTTCTGAACAAGATTCATACCATTTCTTAAAACTAAAGGGAAGCAGAAAAAGCAAATTCAAAGGGATTCAAGCAGTTGCAAATTACTGTCTCTTTGACTTGGGGAGGTTTGTTATCCTGGTTGATGGCAACAATAGCAAGAGTTTACGTAAATAATGGTTGTTTTTAGTGGCTGTTATCCAGTTCTCTTTGGCAGTCAGTCAAATAAAACACTGAATTGACATATTTCAAGAGGCAAGTGTACCTTCCCTCGCCTTCTCTGCTAGGACATAGTTTGCTTATGCACTAAAAGGCGCCATCAAGAAAGATGGCAGTATAAAGAGAGTGCTCCTAATAGGTCCGCAGTTCCTCCTGGATGTATTTGCCGGTTGAGTCAGATTGAAATCAGTCGCCTCGTGCATTGTCGCTCGCTGTCGTACAACACAACTTTCAACAATCATGTCTGGAAGAGGAAAAGGAGGAAAGGGTCTTGGCAAAGGAGGTGCTAAACGTCATCGAAAGATTCTTCGTGACAACATTCAAGGCATCACCAAGCCAGCCATTCGCCGATTGGCTCGTCGTGGAGGAGTAAAGAGAATCTCTGGCCTCATTTACGAAGAGACACGAGGCGTTCTCAAGGTTTTCCTCGAGAACGTCATTCGTGATGCAGTCACGTACACAGAACATGCCAAGCGAAAGACTGTCACCGCCATGGATGTCGTCTACGCTTTGAAGAGACAGGGCCGAACACTGTACGGATTTGGCGGTTAAGTCGTCGTCGTCCTGTTACAGGATAGACAACTGGAGTGACTCGTCCTCACCAACAACACGAACAGCTTTTTTAAAAGCTACCAAAAATGCCAAAGTTGCCCAATGTTTTAAGCCATGTGACAGCACACGATTAACAGAGAGTCTTAATTGAAACTACTGAATCAATAAATCAAGATTCCACTAAATAAATCGGCCGGTATAATGTCAAGTCGCACAAAAATGCACTGAAGTCGAACAGGACTATGTTTACTAAATAATAATAGGAGTTTGTAAAATTCTATTGATGCAGCTAGCTCAATCAAGTTGATTTTTGAAAAAGCATGCCAACAAATTCATCTGCAAGATAATAATAATAAGTCTGCAAGATGTCCTTACCAGGAAGGTAGGCTCCAAACATCTCCATTTCATGAACACAAATAAATGATAAACCCCTCGTTGACTTGACACCGTAAAAATGTGCATATCCCTCTCTCATAAGTGTTGTGTTTGTGGATCATTGACATATGTTGACATATGAGATACATTATCATCATTATAAAACCAAGCAAAAGATTCATACATCTTTAACTTACTACCATCAACAAATAGCCCAGCCCTTTGTCAATTCAGTTTTAATGACCATCAGCAAGAAATATAACCAGGAAGATTACCAACAGGCCAAGAAAAGAATTCCTTTTCTGTCTATTCTTTTTTCATTATCAACCATAATTATTTGCCCTTGAATAAGAGTTGTTTCACTTTGATCAATTGAAGAAAATAATTCCTTTTCTGTCTATTCTTTTTCATTTTCAACCATAATTATTTGCCCTTAAATCTTGGTTCAACTATGTAAGGATAGCTTCCCAGGACCAATCAACCCTTCTTAGGAGATTGATTACTTGCTGCTGGTTTAATTGATTGACTGCTTGATTATTGTTGTTGAATGTTTAGTATGGTTTCTTTGTGCTCATCTGTTGAGCATGATTAATTGGGATGCTAGTGTACCCCTACCACTCGAAAAGAAACATAAACTAATTGATAAAATGATAAAAACTACTTGCTTAAACAGTGAGTAGCTTTGAATGAATTCAAAGCATCATAATGCAGTGGGCCTTTACTATAAACAATATAGAGTGTGTGGTGTGGGTAGGTATCGTGTGTGTGACAAGCAGGTACACCAAGTTAGTTTTCGTGGTGGTTTTTAAAAAAAACCGTTTTTCGTTCGACGAACTGGTAAAGCCAGCCAACAACACTAGCCAGGCTTTATGATTTTGGAGCCTTCTGCTCGGTCTTCTTTGGTAAGAGTACTGCCTGAATGTTGGGCAGGACACCACCTTGTGCAATGGTCACTCCACTCAACAATTTGTTCAGCTCCTCGTCGTTTCTGATTGCAAGCTGCAAGTGTCGAGGGATGATTCTTGACTTCTTGTTGTCCCTGGCGGCATTGCCAGCCAACTCCAAGATTTCTGCCGAGAGATACTCGAGTACAGCTGCAAGATAGACGGGAGCCCCCGATCCAACTCGTTCAGCGTAGTTTCCCTTTCTCAACAATCTATGGATACGTCCGACTGGGAACTGAAGACCAGCTCTGGATGTCCTCGACCTTGCCTTGGCCTTAGCTTTTCCACCTTTTCCGCGTCCAGACATGTTTAACTCAAATTGAAAAACGCAATGAAGCCTTGCCGTAGAATGAACAACTTTGTTCGCAACTGCCTGATTGCCCGCCAAAGTGGTCGATTTGTAAAGGGCATTTACTCGAGATCTACCAATCAACACCCCCGCTATCGACCGCGAACAATAAGCGAACACGAGACAGCGAATCGACGTGTGTCACATGGCCTTCGAGCTAATCACTCAGCTGCCAACAAATATACTAAAAGCTTGCATTGGCGCCAAAAGACCAGATCACTGTTGCTTTGTCTATCTATCGAAGATTCTCGCAAGTGAAATTTAAATTTCTTCATTTCAAGCAAGATGTCTGACGCCCCAGCCAAAGGAGGAAAACAGGCCCCAAAGGTTGCCAAGAAGGGGGAGAAGAAAGCAGGAGTTGGCAAGAAAGGGGGCAAGGCTGCCTCTGGAGATAAGAAGAGGTCGAAAAAGCGCAAGGAGAGCTACTCGATTTACATCTACAAGGTACTTAAGCAAGTCCATCCCGATACCGGCGTTTCAAGCAAGACCATGAGCATCATGAACTCGTTTGTCAACGACATCTTCGAAAGGATTGCTCAAGAAGCCTCGCGTCTCGCCCACTACAACAAGAAGGCAACGATCACTTCGAGGAAATCCAGACCGCCGTCAGGCTTCTCCTCCCCGGTGAACTTGCCAAGCATGCTGTCAGCGAGGGCACCAAAGCCGTCACCAAGTACACAAGCAGCAAGTAAACTGCTGGACGCACGAACACGACAACCCTCGCTCGTCGTCTACAACCAGAAAACAAACAGCTTTTTTAAAAGCTACCAAATTTACCAATCTCGTTGCCCAAACCTTTGACACACACGATAAGCATTGTGCTTCTTTATTCAACCGAGTTATCCAGTTTTAAAAACATTTAGGCTAATGCATGTTGGAGTCTCATTTTCATCAGCATCCCCTCAACCAGTATCACATTTAAAAAGTTACCAACTCTGTAGGTAAACATCCTTCAAAATATGAAATATTTCCTGAAAATATCAAATATGAAACATTTTCTTAAAATATTCTACATTCAACAGTCATTTGTTAACATTGGCTCTTGGTTTTTCATGAACAGTAAAGCCACGAATAAACCCCCCACATTGGATTCCAATCAATGGCAAATGCTATTTATTCATTGGAAATTAGAAACTCAGATAAACCAAACATCCCTTTCGCAATTTTTTTTTCACCATCTGATCTGCCAAATATCTCATTTTTCGATAACATTTAGAATACCCCCACAAGTCCCCTGTCCCGGGCTTACACCAACGAGTAGGCCCATATTAAAAGCACTGCCAGTGAATGCTTATTACTCCTGGTGAGCGTTTATGAAAGTTTTCTTTTCAATATGCATTCTATTTTAAATATGCATTTTAAATTTTCTCCTTTGTTTTTTTACAGTTGTGGGCTTTCAATAGTTGTCTCTGATTTAGCCCTTTTTAATGTGGTGTTTATTAAATCTTATCTCAGAAATTTTTGCATGAAAAATGGAAAATATTATAAGTAAAAATAATAAAGCCAGAGCTATTTTCTCAAAAAGTTATGTATCTTTTGTCAGATCTATTAGATATATAAAGTTTATATATAATATAAAGTTTTGAAGTTTTCATTCTAATTATTCAAGTTTCAATTTGTCCGGCCATAAGCTTATACCAAACCAATGAATATTCGATTTAGGAGATATCTCAGTATTGTTGGTTTGAGCTCAGGAATGTGAAAGGTCGGTTAGTTTCATTTACTAGTTTATTTTCAGCAAAAATGGGTTGTTGTCAGGATGGAATTCCTACTTTCAAAGGCAGTTCCCTAGACCAGTACTGTCAAATACGACTTACACCCTTGGCCAGGGGCGCCTGCAAAAGATTAAGGCAGGAGGGGCAGTGTTGGTGCTGAGGCAAATAGTTGAATCTTTCCACTACCATAATCGATTAATTGTTAGGGCTGAGGGGGTGGCAGGGGGAGGGGTGTGCAAAATTAAAATATTGGCACGGATCTGTACAAACATTGCATCGACCCATACAGCTGGGGTTTTTTGCAATCAAAAGCTCTTCCACACAAAGGCATACTGTTGACAAAATTGTCCATGCAAGTTGATATTAAATCGCCTTGTCATTATTCATATTTTTGGTTGTACAAAAATCATGGCAGTTATAAATAGAAGGGGCTGGCTGCAAGACTTCGATTGTCTGTTTGAAGTTTATTATCCTCTTCTGAAAAAAATTTGCCGTAATCGATGACCGACAGCAAAAAGGAGATTTTTCCATATTTTGTATTTCTAATTGAAATCAACACAATGAGAATGGCAAAGCTGGTCATCATTTATCTACAAAACTTTATTTCATTTTCTTAGGAGTAAATATTCAACGGCGCTACTTGCCCCCTCTGTCCCTCCTGCCTCTCCAGGGTATTAACTTGACTAGAAGTCAGTACAGTATACTCTTGCTTGTGGCTCATCACCAAGTACCTTTACTATGTCAATTAATGCTTCTATTATGCTAAAAATTATCTTTCTTTTCTAAAAATTCTCTTCTATTATGTATCTTTCTTTACGAGCTTACTTCAATCAAAGTATTTTTGGCCACTTTCAAATCTGGTCGTTCTGAAAACATGCTACATGCAGCCCTCATATATTGACGTGTACGCTGATCACCTCGGTAAGAGTTGGTATAGCCAGAGAAAATGTAATAAATAGGCTGCTTCTTGCTAATTATAGAGTCTGTTCGTCCTAAATTTCAAAAGATGTCTGGTTTTCTTTGCAGATTTTCTCAGCCTTCTTTCTTCAGTTTTTCTACCTACCCCCACCCCCGCTCTGCCCTTCATCATGAGCTTTCACAGTTTATTACTGACAAAAAAGTTGCCGGAAAACTAAATCTTTAAATAAATCATCTTCCTTTTCTAAAGGAAATTTTTGAATAGGCATTTTTCCTCCATCGTTACCCAATGTTTCAAACATAAGGGTAAAAAATTAATACTTAACAACTTGTTGAGGGAAAATTGTGCTGTGCTTCTTGCAGTCAAATTCGGCCCAATTTAAGCGTTTTTATAGTCATCACAAAAGGTAACTGCAATTTGCTGGTTCGATCAATTAATGGACCTTTTAAACCTGCCCTGGCATGTGTACTGGGAGATTTTATGACGATTGGAAAAGAAAATAATCAAACAATGTTTGATGGCATGTTGAGCTATACAAGTTGATATCGAATATTTTGCTGCAATAGGCACCAAAGTCTCCTTGGCAAAGAATAATAATGAAACTAAATACCGTAATATTGCTGATTTGAATGCGGCCAAGATCGTATTTGCCACGGCTAGGTGTAGACGGGCAAATAGGTTTTGACAAGAAGCACAAAATTGACAGCCATGTTGGCCTAATATTTTGATGGTCACGTGTGTTTTGGCGCCTAACTGCAAGTGCTTATAGGTTCGTACGGAAGGTAGGCTATTTTGAATTTGAATCTTTGTGAAGGTCGCACACCATTTTATTGTTGGAGCACTAGTTCGAAAGTGATATGGATTCGTCTGCTACATCACCAAAGAAGGCGAAGAAGACAGCAGCGCCCAAGAAGCCTGCCGCACATCCTGCGTATAAGGACATGGTCGCGGAAGCAATCAGAATTCTGAAGGAGCGAAATGGGTCATCGCGACAGAAAATTGCCAAGTATTTACAATCTAATTACAAAGGTATCGGTGATGAGAGCGCTCTGAAGAGAAACCTGAAAGCCTCCTTGAAAAAACTGGTCGCTTCTGGCTCTCTCATCCAAACGAAAGGGGTAGGGGCTTCCGGTTCGTTCAAGCTGCCTGCCGCTGCCAAGAAGCCTGCAGCAGTGAAAAAGCCAGCAACAGCAAAGAAGGTTGCGAAAAAGCCAGCAGCGGCGAAAAAGGCTACTGCTAAGAAGGCTGCAACTTCAGTCAAGAAAAGCCCTGCAAAAAAGAAGGCCTCGACACCAAAGAAAGCCAGCGGAGCCAA